ACATAACTGGACCAGCCAAAAAAAATCATGGCCACAAGCACATGTCAGAATCTGGGAGTTCTGCATTAAGGAATGCTCCTGACTCCCAAAAGCTTGTCCACCATCTACAAGGCACAAGTCAGGACTATAATGGAAGTCTCTCTACTTGTCTGGATGAGTGTAGCTTCAACAATCTTTTAGGACAAAGCAGCCTACCGGCTGTGTCAGTGATGCTCCTCCCATGAAAGAATAAAAAATCATATATGTCTAGCTCAACTTTGAATATATTCAATGCCCCAGCTTTTCTCCTCATTTTCCATCTTAAATGGGAGATACTTGTTCTGAAAGTGTGCCCCCTAAGTTCTAGATTCCCCAATGAGGGAAATATCTTCTCTGTCAAGTGCCCTCAGAATTTGTAAACTCACCTCTTACCCTTCTAAATATCAATCAATACAGGCTCAACCTGCTCAACCTTTCCTCATAAGACAACACCTTCGTCCCAGGAATAAACATATCGAACCTTCTCTGAACTACTTCTAATGTAATTGTATCCTTCCTTAAATAAGGAGACCCAAACTGTACACAGCACTGTGTGCATCTCACTAATATGCTATACAATTGTAGCAAGACTTTCCCACTTTTATATGCCAATACCTTTACAGCAAGGACCAGCATTCCACTTAATTTCCTAATTATTTACTGCAACTGCATACTAAATTTTCGTGATTCATTTTACAATAATAAACCAAACTCAAGATCACTTTGCACAACAGAATTCTGTAGTTTCTTTCCATTTAAGTAATATCTTATTTTTCTATGAAGTGGCTAACTTCATATTTGTCCATATTCTACTGTATCTACCAAATTTTATTCACTAGCTTCACCAATTTCTATCCCTTTGACAATTCTTTGTGCCCTCCACACAACTTGTTTCCTATCTATCATACGTTAGTAAATGTGGCAACAATGGGAGCTGATGGCCTAGTGGTATTATCATCAGACTAGTAATCCAGAGGCCCTAGTAACGATCTGGGTTCAAGTCCTGCTACAGCAGATGGTAGAATTTGAATACAATTTTAAAAAACGTATAATGGTGACCATGAAACCATTGTCAATTGTCAGGGAAAGCCCTTCTAATTCATGAACATCCATTAGGGAAGGAAACTGCTGTCTTTCTATGGTCTGGCCTACAAGTGACAGCAGACCCATGGCAATGTGGTTGACATTTAACTGCCCTCTGGGCAATTAGGGACGGTAGTAAATGCTGGCCTGGCCAGTGATGCCTGTATCATGTGAATGAATTAAAAAAAACACATCATCCAATCAGGTCTGAACACTAATTTCAGTTTTAACTTGTCATTTATCCTGATTCTCAGTGTTTGCTTTTCATTAGCCGATCTATCCATGCTAATTCCCCAAAGCCATGAGCTCTTGTCTTGTGTAGTAACCTTTATTTTGCAACTTGTTCTTACTTTTGAAAATCCAAATGCACCAAAGCTATTGGTTTCCCTTTATCCAAAGGATAAAGTTGCTGGTTACATTTATTAAGTTTATTAAAAATTAGTATCCTTTCATAAAACCACATAAACTCAACATTGTGTAATGATTTTCCAAAGCTAATACTATACATTATGACAAATCTGGCACCCTCAGCATTGAAACACTGTCCAATTTCAGATATCACAGAAACACAGAATTGTTATGGTGCAGTAGGAGGCCATTCAGTCCATTGTGTCTACACAGTGCTTTTTTTTTGATTTCAGGTTTGGTGGTTTAGATTGTGGGTAGGTCAGGTTGAGTTGGGTTGGGGATTTTTTTTTTGTACATTTTTCATAGGCGAGTTATTACTGTTCATCCCTTATCGCCCTGGAAAAGGTGATGGTGACCTGTCTTCTTGAACCACTGCACTCCATTTGAGTGTACGTGCCTCCACAGTTCTTTTAGGAAGTGAATTTCAGGATTTTGACCCAGCGACACTGAAGCAACAGTTATACATTGCCAAGTCAGGATGGTGAGTGGCTTGGAGAGGAACCTGCAGTTGGTGGCATTCCCATGTATTTGCTGCCCTTCTTCTTCAGGAGGGTAGTGCTTATGGATTTGGTAGGTGCTGTTTAATGACATTTTAGTGAGTCTCTGCAGTTCAACTTATAGATGGTATCTACTGCTGCTACTGATCATAGGGAATAGATGCTTGTGGATGTGTTCCCAATCAAGCAGGTTGCTTGGTCCTGGATGGTGTCAAACTTCTTGAGTGTTGTTGAAGCTGCACCTATCCAGGCATGTGGGGAGTATTCTATCACACTGCCTTTTAGATGGTGGACTAGCTTTGGTAAGTCAGGAAGTGAGTTACTTGCCCATTCGAAGACGAAAATGCTTCAGCCTTGTCCTGTGCACTGATGTGCTGGCCTCCTCCATCATTGAGGATGGGGATATTTGTGGGGCTTCCTCCTCCAGTGAGTTGTTTAATTGTCCACCACCATTCACGACCAGATGTACCAGGACTACTGAGCTTAAATCTGATCCGTTGGTCGTGATTGCTTAGCTCTGTCTATCACTTGCTACTTATGCTGTTTGGCGTGTAAGCAGTTCTGTTTGGTAGCTTAGCAGGTTGGCACCTCATTTTTCAGTATGCCTGGTGCTGGTCCTGGCACATGCTCCCGCACTCTTCATTGAACGAGGGTTGATCCCCTGGCTAGATAGTAATGGTTGATTTGCCACGCCATGAAGTTGCAGATTGTGCTGGATTCTGCTGTTGTTGATGGCCCACAGCACCTCATGGGTGCCCAGGTTTGAGGTGCTAGATCTGTTCAAAGTCTGTCCCATTTAGCATGGTGATATCACCATGCAACATGATTCTCAATGACTGTATGGAATTCACTCCTACATGGATAGATGCTTCTGTAGCAGGCAGATTAATGAGGCTGAGGTCAAGCATGTTTTTCCCTCTAGTTGGATCCTGCATGACCTACCATAGACCCAGTCCAGCAATTATGTCCTTTAGGATCCAACCAGCTTGATCACTAGTGTTGCTGCTGAACCACACTTGGTGGTGGTTGTCGAGATCACCCCACACAGAAAACATTATAGCAGGAGGTTTCCTTGTCCATGTTAAACCTGATGTTGTGAGTCCTCTTGGGATCCAGAGTCAATGTTGAGGACTCCCAGGGCAAATCTCTGCCGATTGTATACCGTTGTGATACCATTTCTGCTGGGTCTGTCGTGTCAGTGGGGCAGAACATACCAGGGGCAGTGATGGTGGTGTTTGAGATGTTGAACGTACAATTCCATGAGGAGGACTGTTCCTTAACTAGTCAGTGAGACTCTCCCAATGTTGGTACTAACCCCTAGATTTTGGTAAACAGAACTTTGTATGTCACACAGCTGTGTATGCTCTTGTTGTTCCTGTGCTTTGGTTGATGCCAGGTGGTCCGTCTGGTTTCCCTACTTTATTTAGAGTTTGTGTCATGGTTTAATACAACTGAGTGGCTTGCTAGGCCAATTTAGAAGGCATTTAAGAGTCGGTCCCATTGCTGTGGGTCTAGAAGCACATGTTGACCAGACCAGGTGTGGATGGCAGATTTCTTTCCCTGAAGGACATGAGTGAACCAGATAGTGTTAAGCGTTGCTTGCCACGTGGGATAGAGCTATGAGTGAAGCCAGAAACCGTCTGGGGCCATTCCACACCGATATAGCACCAAAGCAAATTGCCCAGGTGAGGATTTTTTAGTATTACTCAATTAAAATTGATATAGAAAGAATCAGTTTTTCAGAAAACTCTGGTTTTCAGGCAGCTGGATTCAAGGTACTCTACTAACTGGCCTGTAGTTTCCTGCTTTCTGTCTTCTTCCCCTCTTAAAAAAAATCCAATAGTACTTCTCCAAAGGACATGGAAGGAGGTGCAACATTTCATTTTCCATTTGGGAAACGTGCAGCCTTCAGGACTCAATCCTGAGTTCAATCATTTTAGGGCCTGAGCACCTTCTTCCACATCTTTCCCTCACTCTAAGCCTTGCCATCACATGGGCTGATTTTATCACCCACTACCGGTCCCCATCAGCAGCTTTTCTTTCTCCTTATGGCACCATTATCCATCCCTTTTTCTGCCTAACTGCTGTTCTCTCTCTCTGGGCTCCATCTCCACCTATCATTTACTCCTTCACCCCCAATACCCCCATCTTCGGTATATATACCAATCTTTTCCTCGCTACAATCTGTTCTGAAGAAGGGTCACTGGACCCAAAATGTTGACTCTGCTTTCTCTCCACAGATGCCACCAGACCTTTAGGAGACATCTATTGTAAGTCTAGTCTGTCAAATCTTTCCATGATTTTAATGACTTGGCATTAAAATGAAACTGAATTGATGTACAATTAACATCCACCTGGAAACCATAAATGGATTTTAAAGCAGCAGTAAGTCATCACAAACAGCAGACCATCTACTTTGGTTCCACCAACAATTTTATAATGCTAACAGTTTAGTGACATAAAGGAAACTACCCTCTGCACACGATAGGGGGAGTAAGCGGGTCAGGGAATAAAGTGAGGGTGGGAACACAGGCCATGATGAGGTGCAGAGCACACCCAATATTGGGCCATCAGAGCAGAGATTGGGCGAGGATGGAAATGGTGGCTGAATTTCTAGGCTGTGGTCAGAGAATCAAAGATGAGTCAAAGATGAAAGGTTAATTCCGGTGTCATAGAGTCATAGGGGTCAATAACATCCAGTGTTCAACAGTTTTAATTTTTCGTGCTGTTAAGCAGTTCTGGCTCAACTCCCTTCCTGGTGACGTGGGTTTGTAGATGATCCTTATGCACCTCAGGCAATAACTTTGCTATTCTTGCCAAATGTAATCTCACATTGTGCTGAGGTGTGATCAGTTTTGTACCCTAAGAGTTTAATGAAACTTCACCACGTAGAACACCCATACAGAGCACCATGAGACATCTCAACGAGTCAGAGGATCTCCACCCAATCACCTTCCCCAATGGAGCACACATTGTCAAAGCACAGAAACTTACGGTCATCAAATTGTAACAGAGCAGCGAGCTCTGCTGGAATCTCCAGTAACCCAACATCCTGCAGAGACAAAGAGAAAGACATTAATTGAGATGGTGACAAAGGGTTTATTTGTCTGTGTGTACATTTGTGTCTGTTGTGTATGTGTTTTTGTGTGTGAGTGTGTGTGTTTTTGTGAATGTGTGTTTGACATCTACAGCACAGGAGATCATTTGACCCATCGTCTCCATGCCAGTTAACAAGTATCTGACTGCAATCATCCCATTTTCCAGCTTTTGGCTCATAGACCTGGAGGCTATGACAATGTAAGTGAATATCTAAACACGCCTTAAATGTTATGAGAATTTCTGATTCAATTACCCTTTCAAGCTGAGTTCCAGACTTCTACCACCTTCTGAGTGAAAATATTTCTCCTCAACTCTCCTCTTAGCCTTCTACTTGAAAGCTGTCAAGTAGTTTTCCCTGAGAGCTGCCACCCAGGTGGATAGAGTTGTTAAGAAGGCGTATGATGTGTTAGCTTTCATTAATAAAGGGATCGAGTTCAAGAGCCGTGAAGTTATGCTCCAGCTATACAAAAGCCTGGTTCGGCCACATCTGGAGCATAGTGTCCAGTTCTGGTCGCCCCATTACAGGAAAGATGTAGAAGCGTTGGAAAAGATACAGAGGAGATTTACCAGGATCTTGCCTGGAATGGAGGGAAGGTCTTACGAGGAAAGGTTGAGAGAGCTATGGCTTTTCTCTTTAGAACGACGAAGGATGAGAGGTGACTTGATAGAGGTGTACAAAATGATCAGAGGTATAGATGGAGTGGACAGCCAGAGACTTTTTCCTAGGGTGGAGGTAGCTATTACGAGGGAGCATAGTTTTAAAGTGAGAGGAGTTCGATATAGGGGAGATGTCAGAGGTAGGTTCTTTACTCAGAGAGTGGTAGGGGCGTGGAATGCATTGCCGGAGAGGGCAGTGGAGTTGGCCTTATTAGGGCATTTAAGCGGCTATTAGATAGGCATATGGATGATAGTGTAAGGTAGGGTTGGAGGTTAGATAGACCTTAGGTTAGAGTAAAAGTTCGGCAATACATCGTGGGCTGAACGGCCTGTACTGTGCTGTACTGTTCTATGTTCTATCTGCTTCTTACCTTAAATTGACGTCCTTTGGTTATTGACCTCTCTAATGGAAAAAGTGCCTTCCTATGACCTACATAATGTTATATACCTTTACCAGATCCTCTCTCAATCTTTGCTGCTCCAAAGTAAACAACCCCAGTCTATCCACTGCTTCTTCATATCTCAGACTTTCTAGTCAGGCAGCATCCTGATTAATTTCCTCTACGACTTCGCTAATACAATCACATCTTTCCTATAATCTGGTGACCAGAAATAGGCATAGTATTACAGTTAGGGCCTAACAGTTCTTTCTACTGGTACAGCATAACTTTGCTGCTCTTATATTCTATGACTTACCTAACAAAGCAAAGCATCTCATATACCTTCTTAGCCACCTTATCTACCTGCCCTGCTACCTTCAAGGATCTGTAGACATGCACACCTCATCAGCCCATCCCAAGTTTTTCAAAGTTGAAGATGTCACTGTTCTGTTCCCTTGACCAGTCTGTTGACATTCTCCTGCATTTTATGGCTATTCTCCTCGCTTTCACTTCCCTCCCAAGGAACTGCAAGATTCAATGGAAAACAGCTAAGGGACCTTGCAGTGTGTTAAAGTATCCTTTGAAAGGAATCTCTCAATGAGAGTTGCTGATATAGCAAGGGTGATCTTATGATTAGATCTATTTGTTGCTGACTGGGACAGGACTGACAGTCAGCATTGTTGGTCAATGTTGACAGACTCAGTAAAATTCCATTTTTGTTATATTGGATTTTAGGATTTTCACTGGAATTGTGGGCATAACATGTCAATTTGCATCTTAGGATTTGAATAAGATAAATGTTGCAGAGCATATGACGTAGCTAGCGAGTTCAATCCCTAGTGCTCACACTTACCTGACCGTGTCAATGTCCTACACTGTACCAGGTTAACACACTCAAAAATTAACATTAACATTTTCATCACTTGTGATGTAAAGTGCGTGATTTATCTATTTTTGAATATAATTTATTTTCAAATTTGGATTTGAACTAGTGACTTGTAGGTTTGGTCTGTTTCCTGAAGGCATTCAATGATAAACTTGTAAGAATTTCTGTTGCCACGGTGATTTCATTTGGAAACAGTGTGAGAAAGACTTCCTGGAGTGTCAGCGGGTCTGGTTTAGATTGGGAGAGTTTGTGGGTGCACAACACAAATAGTATTGTGTGTTAGGTGCTCAGGCATAAGATTCTGGAATTTTTGGGGGTTGCTTTGGAGTAACATGTGAAATGTTTTGGGGTTGGGGTTTTGGGAGGGAGAAACAAAAGCTTTTGGGTTTTAGTAGGGCAGTTGGAGAGGATTCAGAAAGGATTAACCAGGATGTTGCCGGGCCGGAGGGTTTTAGTTATAAAGAGAGGCTGGATGGGCTGGATCTTTTTTCACTGGAGCGTAGGAGGTTGTATACCTTACAGAGGCTTATAAAATCATCGGGGGCAAAGGTAACGTGAATAGCAGAGATAGTAAGAACTGCCAATGCTGGAGTCAGAGATAACACAGTGTGGAGCTGGAGGAACACAACAGGCCAGGAGGAACAGGAAAGCTGACGTTTTGGGTTGGGACCCTTCTTCAGAAATGGGAGAGGAATAGCAAATGTCTTTTCAAAATGAGATGGTGTATTTCTAAGGTGAGAGAAGAAAGATTTAATCGGGACCTGAGGGGCAACTTTTTCACACATGGGGTGGTTCATGTGAGGAATGAACGGCCAGAGGAAGTGGTAGAGGTAGAGTTACAACAATTAAATGACTTTTGAATAGGTGCATAAATAGGAAATGTTTAGAGGGATACGGGACAAATGCAGGCAAGTGGGACTAGTTTAGTTTGGGAAACTTGGTCAGCATGGACGAGTTGGACCGAGGGTTCTGTTTCCGTGCTGTATGACTCTATGACTCTATGAACATACCAACCTATATCATATATCTGATTTGTGAAGCCATTTGTGAAAACCAAGCTCCACATTGAGAATTGAGTTATGTAAAATTGATCCTGATATATTTAATAGCCAACCTCACATTGCCTCAACACAAAAAAATCTGTTCATCTGTCTCCTACTCTATTTTTTCAAATGTTACTTTTGTTTATTTCCAGCTGTGTTTTCCAGCTCTTGCTAAGTGTATTTACATTGTGCTGTTTCTTTGTTCATCTCCCTTGGTCTATCTGAAACACACAACAATCAATAATCTCTTTATATTAAAATGGCTGTAGTTGTGGCTGAGTGGTTAAGGTGATGGATTAAGAAATCCATTGGGGTTTGCCTGTGCAGGTTTGAATCCTACTGATTATGTTTCCTCAACTGGCAGATTTCAAATGATGTGGCTACAAGATTATGAAGGGCTTAGACAGTTGAAAGCCTTTTCTTAGTGTGGAAGAGTCAGTTACCAGGGGCCATGGGTTTAAGGTGCGAGGGACAAGGTTTAAAGGTGATATGCGAGGCAAGATTTTTAAACAAAGGGTAGTGGGTGCCTGGAACTTGCTGCCAGAGGAGATAGTGGAAGCAGATACTATAGTGACTTTTAAAGGGCATCTTGACAAATACATGAATAGGATGGGAATAGAGGGATACGGTCCCAAGGAGGGTAGGGGGTTTTAGTTATGAAGGGCAGCATGTCGGTGCAGGGTCGGAGGGCCGAAGGGCCTGTTCCTGTGCTGTAATTTTCATTGTTCTTTGTTCTTTGTACATCCAACCATGATCTGGTTATCAATATTGCTTAAATATACATATATATATATATATCTCATCAAATGCACATAAAACATATTACATCAAACAGAAACATTATTTCAGAAACGTACAAGAGGAAATTAATTTAAATTAGTGTAAACTAATTCTGAAGATTATATATTTAAGGAAAACACAGCAGAAGGAGTTCATTAATCCATTGTCAATATTTCAACGATTACATTTGGTGGGAACTGACTACTGTAATACCATTACCATTACTAAGCCCTTTCACCATATTTTTTACATTCTTCCTTTCCAAATGCACAATCAAATCTCTTTCAAATAACGTTATAATCTTTCACTCATTAGATCTGTGTTCATTATCTGAAGTTCACTTAGTATGAAAATATTGCTTCTAATTTCTTTTGTCTCATGATTGTTCCCTATGGTCCTTTGTTCATTCCAATAAATCACAGAAAGCTTGAATCTGAGAAGTGTACAACACAGAAGGCAGCTGTTCAGGCCATCATGCTTGCTTTGGCTCTTTGAAAGAGTAGCTGTACTTTGTCCCACATTACTGCTTCTTGGCTGTAAACCAGCAAGGCCCTCATACGCAGTACCCATCCAAACCCCTTTTAAAATTATTTGTGGAATTGACTTTTATTCCTATTTCAGACACAGTTTATAGTCTCTTCTCTTTAAAACTGGCTACAACTGCAATGCAATGTTATAACTGTTGTGAAGTTCACCATTGGTATCTGATCACCTGTTGATTTCTGTTCCTCTGCTCTGTTGGGAAATTCATCATTTAGTGAATACCTCCTTTGCTTTGCTTTTGTCCTGGTTCCTGATTTCCCGATCATACATCTTCACCCGCCTGACATTAAACTGTATCACCCATCTTGGAATATACATTTGATCAGACAAACTTCATATCATTCTTCTTGTGTTTGAAAATTTTTTTATCAATAGGAAACAAAAGAAGTACCAAGGATACACCCATAACTCCATGCTGACAACATAGAAAGTACTAGCCTGTGCTCTTCAGCCCCTGATCATTTCTCCATCCATGCGCCATACTGTTTGCAATACATTGTACTTTTAATCTGTTCTTCATTTTTTCTAAAATCCCAAATTGTGCCACTTCATTTATCTGCCTTGGCTTGTATCTGCCCATTCTGCTGACCTGGGTATCTCCTCCAATAAAATCCTGTATCATTCCTTTTACTTTCACATTTTTATGTAGGCAACAATCTTTTCT